GCCAAGGCGAGGACTAAGGGAATAGACAGTAACTTCTAAACAGATGTGGGATTTTTTTTTTTAAAGATTTATTTTATTTATTTGAAAGTGTTACAGAGAGAGAGAGAGAGGTCTTCCATCCGCTGGTTCACTCCCCAGATGGCCACAACAGCCCGAGCAGGGGCCCAAGGACCTGGACCATCTTCTGCTTTCCCAGGCCAAAGAGAGCTGGATGGGAAGTGGGGCAGCCGGGACTAGAACCAGCAACCATATGGGATGCCAGCGCTTCAGGCCAGGGTGTTAACCTGCTGCGCCACAGCGCCGGCCACAGATTTCTTTTTGAAGTAGTGAAAATGTCATGAAATTAGGTAATAATGATGGCTGCACAACCTCATGAATAAACTAAAACTCACAAATTGTAAAACTCATAAATTTATGGTATATGAACTATGTTTCAATAAGTTATATAAAAAAATCAATAAATGAAAAAGACCATAAAAATGTTATCTGCATATACTTGTAGACAAGGCAAAAATCTATCCTAAGCTATCTGGTTTATCTAATTTGTAAGATTCATGACACTACAGTTTTTCCCTACTGCCTGTTTTTACAGCAGCACAATTCATAATCTGCAAACTGGGGCAAGTACCTGGCCTAGCTGTTAAGGAACTGGGTTGGAGTCTGAGCTCTGGCTCCAATTCTAGCTTCCTGCTAGTATAGACCCTGAGAGGCAGCAGGTGATGGCTGAGGTGGTTGAGTTCATGCTACTCACATGGGATACCTGAAATAAATTCCCAGTCCCCATCTCTGGCCCAGCCCAATTCTGGCCCTTGCAGGTATTGACAGAGTGAAGCCATGGATGGCAAGCTTGCTGTCACTGTCTCTCTCTCTCCCACTCAAAAAAACAATTAGCAAACTAAACTCACTATAAAAATTTAACAAGATTAATTTTTTAAAGATTCATTTATTTGAAAAGCAGAGTAGCAAAAACAGAAGGGGAGAGAGAGAGAAAGAATCTTCATCTGCCGATTCACTCCCCAAATGGCCACAATGGACAGGGCTGGGGCCAGGTAGAAGCCAGGAGCTCTATCTGGTCTCCCATATGGGTGTTTTGGGCCATCTTCTGCTGCTCTCCCAGGAGCACTAGCATGGGATGGGATGAGAAACAGAGGAGCTGGGTCTTAAATCGGTGCTCCAATATGGGATGCTGGCATCCCAGGCACCAGCTTAACATGATGTGCCACGGTGCCAGCCCCAGTACTAAATTTTTGACTTGGGACCAACATTGTGGCATAGTAAACTAGACCTCTGCCTGCAGCATCGGCATCCCAAATGGGTGCTGGATCGTGCTGGCTGCTCCTCTTCTGATCCAGCTCTCTGCTGATGGCCTGGGAAAGCAGTGGAAGATGGCCCAAGTGCTTGGGCCCCTGCACCTGCGTGGAGACCAGGAAGAAGCTCCTGGCTTTGGATCAGCTCAGCTCTGGCCGATGTAACCATTTGAGGAGTGAATCAGAGAATGGAAGACCTTTCTATCTCCTGTCTTTCCCTCTCTCTGTTAACTCTACTTCCAAAATTAAAAAAAAAAATTTTTTTTTAGTTAAAAATGTTTACTCAACTACATATAGAAATCTTAATTTTTTTCCTGACAGCTATAAATTCTGATCTACTAAGAGAGTAGCCTCTAGGAACAGGCTCAATTAATAAAAGCTCATGGAACTGAACTAAACTAAAATTAACGAAGAAGGGCAGGCGTTGTAGCGTAGCAGGGTAGAGGCACCACCTGCAGTGCTGGCATCACATGTGGGCACCAGTTCTAGTCCCAGCTGCTCCACTCCTGATCCAGCTCTCTGCTATAGCCTGGGAAAGCAGTGGAGGATGACCCAAGTCTTTGGGCCCCTGCACCCATATGGGAGACCCGGGGGAAGATCCTGGCTCCTGGCTTTGGATCAGCCCAGCTCTGGCAGTTGTGGTCAATCTGAGAGTGAACCAGCAGATGGAAGACCTCTCTCTCTTTCTCTGCCTCTCCTTCTCTCTCTGTGTAACTCTGCCTTTCAAATAAATAGATAAATAAATCTTTAAAAAAAATTAATGAAGAGCCAGCTCGCATATACCAGGGAAGAATGACACAAATTGATCATATTGCACCAAGCCAGGCCCAGAGAGTCACATAATTCAAGCTTATCAGTCACTGTATAAATTGTTTAAAATTAGACCTACTGCTCCTTGACCTCCTCTAGAGAAGTAATCGAATAGCAAAACTGAATTCCAGTCCAAACTAACTGAACGTGCAACCTTGCCCTGTTGGAACCACCTGGAGACTACCAGGCTCCTGAAGTCCCTTCTCTGCAGGGTCACACCCTGCATTCTGAATGATGATGTCTCTCTCATTGCCCAAGTCCTACTATGGGCCAGTTTCCACTCCTATCTTACCCTCACCATCTGTTCTCCACATAACAGCCAGTGCTCTCTCAACAGAAATAAGATGCTGTCCCTCACAGATCTAAGTCTTCGAGGCCCTGCACACTCTGACTCCTGACTGTCCCAACAGCCTCAGTATCACTCCGGTCACCAGGATCTCTGCGTTCCTCAAACACTGCCAGCCCTCTCCTCCCCAGAGCCCACTCCTCCTCCTCCTCTCCAGCTTCTGCTCAGATGTCACCTCCTCAGGCTGCAGTCTAACACATTACTCACGCTGCGTCCCTTTCTTCAATGTAAAATGGTGACTGTCACAGCACGCACCTCTCCGGCTGCCACAAGGTATAAATGCACGCAAACCAGCAGAGTGCCTAGCACGGTGCCCAACATCATCTACTACCATCATTACTCAACGTGCCCCATCGTAAATCCCTTGCTATCCATGCACACCATCTTGGAATTATCTTATTTGTCACCCGCTCTGCGGTTCTCCCCAAAACCCTAGAGTGTCTGCTTCGTGAGCAGCTGTGTGTGCTTCATTCAACGCTCCATGACCACCTCCAAAGGATGTGCGGGTATCTGGTGAGTACATGACTAAATCACAGCCGGCGTTTCTTGCAGATAATGTCTGGATTCAAAGAATAAGTGAAAAGCGGCAATGTCTCGATGCATCAGCTAGGGAATTGGCTGGTCCCTTCTTGCTAATTATATGGCAGACCAGCCAGTTCATCTCCTCATAGCTAGTGTTCTTTCCCTTAAATCGTATCACATGTACACAGTGGAAGGAACTGGGAGATTAACCTATGAGAGTGAAAGTAGAACATTGTGGATATTCGCTGACTCTTTATAAATATCCTACATAAATCCAAACTGTAGCATGCCAAAAAATGCTATTCACCACCATGAAAGTCATACCCTGAAATATTAAGATATAAAACACACTGAATTGAAACAAATTTTCTACGTGTACTCAAGTAAACCATGCATACTTGTGTATGGGGTACTTCATAAAACTCACAGGAAATGGAATTAAAGGTCTTTCAGTTCAGACAACTTTGAAGTCCTTGCAATTTTCCCACCATATGCTTTCATGAACGCTAATATGAATGCCTTATATGCATGCATTTCAAAAACTTTATGCATGAAACTTTTAATTCCATTTTCAACTTTCTCGAGTAGCTTCATATCTATTTATATATACAAATTCAATCATTTCTCAAACTGAGGCTATGCTTTTCCCAACTTCTATGTTTCTGAACATAACGAGCTACGTGGAAATAAACCAATGCTCTGACAGCTGTGGTTAAAACTCAGTCCTCACTCACCCCGAATCCTCCCCGTTACAGGTCTCCTGACTTACAGGCTCAACATCACTGGTTCGCCAAGGGAAATCCCAAATGGAAGGCTCTAATGGACCTGACAGCTTAGCATTAATTTCTTAAACGCGTCTGAAAGTACCAGAAATCCACGCCTTTCGCCCTCCTGAGAATTCAACGTCCGACTTGACCCGGCGGTTCTTCAAGTGCCTAAGAAACCCCTTTCCCGCACTCGCGGGTTCCTGTTCAGGAAGGCATGGTCCAGCCGAAACCCGGCTTGCGGAGCCCTCCATGCACTTTGCAGTTGGGCTTTCCGCGAACAAAACACCCGGCCGTGGACACACCAGCACCTTCGTCACGGGTCAAGGCCGAGGCGAAGGACACAGCGACGGGAACGCCTCCGCGCCCTTCCCCGAAGCACCAAGCCACGGCGCAGAGTAGGTTTCGCTCCACACCCGGAGCGAGGCCCCCGATCGGAAGGGGTAACGAGGCTCACGGCGGGCACGGGCTCGGCCACAGCCCGGCCGGGCGGCAGCGGCGGCCCCAAGCCGCTCTCCGGGAAAGGTTCCTAGGCAGGGCCGGGCGCAGGCGGCGGCCGCGACGTCGACGCCCCCGGCCCAGGGCCTTGCAGCGCGCCCCGCCGCGCACCAAAGTCACGCTCGACCCGAGCACAAAGTTTGGAAGACGTACCCGAGCGCCGAAACGCACGGGTCTCAGAGCTGAGCTCGCGCCAGGGACAAGTCTCAGGAGATCCCTTCGACGCCCGGCTCGCGTGTGGGGCAGAAAGGCCGCGAGGCGGCCTCGCTGAGAAGGAGGCGGCGGCGGCGGCAGCGACGCCCACTCAGACGCCCAGCTCCTCTTCCTCCCGGGCCCCGCCGCCCAGGTGCTAGCCGCGCAGCCGCCTCACGCGCGCGCCCAGCGCGAGGGAGCCAGGCACGGGCGCCGGGGCCCCTCCTGAGGAGGGCCTGCGACCCCCCGGGCCAGCCCGGCGCACGCCCGGCGCCTCCCCGCCGCTCGCCGCCGCCGGCCGCGGAGACCCGGTCTGGGGGCGCGGGCCCGGGGGTCCGCGGCGGGGCGGGCGCGGGGCCGCACACCCCTCCCCCGCCCGCCGCCCCTCCCCCCGGGCCGCCCGCGGGGCGCGCTGGAGCCGAGCGCCGGCGTCCCGGGGGACCAGCCCGCCCGCCGGCCCGGGGGACCCGGGCAACTTTGCCCTGCGCGGCCGCCGGCTGCCGCCCCTCGCCCCCGGCGAGGCAGGGAGGGGACCCCGAGACGAGCGCGGCGTGGACTCACTTTTTCGGATGTTTCTCTCTTTTCGGCCTCCGCTTTCGGGCCTGAATGGCCAGCACTAAGGAAAGAGAAGACACACATTAACGGTCGGGCCGGGCGGCGTGAGGGCCGCGAGGCGGGGGGCGCCGCGGGACGCTCACCTTTCCGGGAACTCATCGCTACGCGGCGGAAGCGGGGCGGGGGGCTTCGCGGCGGCGGCGGCCGCGGCGGCCGCGGCGGCAACGCGGGAGCCGAGCCGAGCAGAGCCGAGCCGGGCTGCAGCCTCCCCTCACTCCGCCAGCCGAGGAGTCAGAACCGCGCCTGCGCCGCCGCCGCCGCCGCCGCCGCCGCCGCCGCTCCCGCGGGGACCCAGCAAGACCCGCCCCCGTCCGGCCCCGCCCCCGCCCCGCCCCCCGGCGGTCCGGGGGGATTGGGACCCCACGCGCGCCCCCCACCCCGCGGCCGCCGCCGCCACCCACCCGTGGCGAGAGGACTACCGCCCTCTAGGCCTGTCTCGCCCACGGCCTCGCCCGCCCCGGTCCGCGGCCCAGGCTGCCGCCTCCTGCGCCCTTGCGGCGGGCGCGGGGCCGCCCATCGCGCTCGGCCCCCGGCCCGCCGACCCTCCCTCGCCAGCCAAAGCCCCTGCCCGCCGCACCCCGGCCGGTCGCGCTGGCCGCCTGTCCATGCGCCCGTCGGTGCCCGGCGCCTCCGCGGGGCTCACACCACCTCTCTTCCCGCGGCCTCTTCTCCCCCTTGGCTCCTCTACATCCTTGCATCCCCATGAGCGCCGCTTCCTCCAATCCGGCGCGCGTGGAAAGGGCACAGGACCAAGAACCGGGAGCCCTGGGCCCTAGGTTTGCAGTGTGACCTTGGCAAAGTCGTTTTCTCTCCCCACCCCACCGCACCCCTTCACCCGCCCCTCAGAATTGGGTTAAGTTTAAGGGATGAAAAGATCCACAGAGCGTTGACAAATAGGATGCGGCTTCTGCACGTGAATTGAAGCCCAGTCCGGTGAGGAACGTGTTAGCCTAACAAAGAACTGCACCAAGTAGTTCTGGTCTCCATCTTAAAAGAAGGCCATGAAGTCCTCCGGAGGTCCAACCGTTTAACCAGTCAGGATCCGAATTCAGGTCTGGCGGCTCCAAATCCGGTCCACCTTACCAGACTGCCTAGTCTACAGGCGGGAATCAAGTCGATGATGACACAAATTTAACCGCAGTGCTCCCATAGTGATTTAAATCATTACAATCGTTTTGAAAAAATAGGCATCCTGGCCATTGACTCTCTCCCCGGTCACACAACTGAATCCTGAACTAACGGAAGTAGCTTATCTTACCCCAAAGATGTTAAACCCAAGAACAAGACCAAAATAAAAACATTGCTTGAATTTTGAAAAGCTTTAGATTCCTGCAACTTTTTCTTTTCCAAAGTATCAAACCTACAGAAAAGGCGCAAGAAAATATAATGAACAGCCATACGAACCCATAATCACCAATATTTAAAATTTCACCACATTTGCTTTCTGTACCCTTTATCCCCAAATATTTCAATGGGTTTCTACTGAGGATAAAGATGTTCTCCTACATAATCAGAATTCCATTATCACTCCAAGACAATTTAACACTGATGCAGTATGATTATCTGTAATATACAGGCCATATGTGAATTTTCAAAATGGCCCTCTTATTAGCCCTTTTAGTTGATTTTTTTTCCAACTCAGGATACAGTCAAGGGTCGTTCATTGCATTTGGTTCTCATGTCTTTTTTAGCTCCTTTATTCTAGAGTAATCCCTGGTTTGGATTTTTTTTCTTTTGTAACATTGACTTTTTTTTGAAGAATCCAGTTCTACTGTTTTGCAGAGTGTTCAATTCGTATTTGACTGCTTTCCTATGATTAGGCTGGAATTGAAAAATTTTGTCAGCTACACCCTATGGATGATACTGTACCCCTCTTAGAGCACCAAGTCATGCCAGCTTGTTCAGTGACGGTGATGTTATGTTTATTCTAATGGTTTCCCCATGATAAACATCTCTTTTTCCCTATGTATTTAAAGGGTAGTCTGAGACAAAAGTATGCAAAGGACTTGAATGGATATTTTTCCAAATAGCCAACACACACAACAAGATGTCCAACATCACCACTAGTCCTTAGGGAAATCCAAAGCAAAACTACAATGAGAATACTTCACATCTAATAGGATGGCTATTTTAATGGACAAGTACTGGCAAGAATTTTGGGGGCTGGTATTGTGTTGTAGCAAATAAAGCCACCACAGCAACACCAGCATCCCATGTGGGCACCTGTTGTTGTCCCAGCTGCTCCACTTCTGATCCAGTTCTCTGCTAATGTACCTGGGAAAGAGCAGAAGACGGCCCAAGTGTTTCGGTCTCTGCATCCACATGGGAGACCCGAAGAAGCTCTTGACTCCTAGCTTTGGCCTGGCCCAACTCCAGCCATTGGGGCCATTTGGGGAGTGAACCAGTGGATGGAAGATCTCTCTCTCCATAACTCTGCCTTTCAAATAACTAAGTCTTTAAAATAAAATTTGACCCTCAAATATTAGACACATCAAAATCCTTGGGGCCGGCGCTGTGGCGCAGCAGGTTAATGCCCTGACCTGAAGCGCCAGCATCCTATATGGGCTACAGTTCTAGTTCCAGCTGCTCCTCTTCCAATCCAGCTCTCTGCTATGGCCTGGGAAAGCAGTAGAAGATGGCCCAAGTCCTTGGGCCCCTGCACCCACTTGGAAGACCTGGAGGAAGCTCCTGGCTCCTGGCTTTGAATGGGCGCAGCTCTAGCGTTGCGGCCAGTTGGCGAGTGAACCATCGGTTGGAAAACTTTTCTCTCTTTCTCTGCCTCTCCTCTCTCTGTGTAACTCTGACTTTCAAATAAATAAATAAATATTTTTTTAAAAAATCCTTATACATTACTTGGGGGGGGGCAGAGGAACATATAAAATGATGCAGTTCCTCTGGAAAAGTTTTATCAGCTGTTCTTATCATAGAATTATCAGCAATTCTACTACTAGGTATATATCCACCAAAATTGAAAATAGGTTCTTAAATCTTTCTCTATAAATGCTCATAGTATCCTTATTACAATAACTAAAAGGTGGAATAAAAAATGTCTAACCAAGGCCAGCATTGTGGCATAGCAGGTTAAACCGCCTCCTGAAATGCCAGCATCCCATATGAGCATCGGTTCCAGTGCCAGCCACTCCACTTTCAACCCAGCTTCCTACTAATGTGCCTGGGAGCAGCAGAAGATGGTCCAAGTGGTTGGGTCCCTGCTACCACATGGGAGACCTGAATAAATTCCAGGTTCCTAGCTTCTGCCTGATCCAGTCCCAGCCCTTGTAGCTATTTGGAGAGTGAACCAGCAGATGGAAGGTCTGTTTCTCCCTCTGTTTCTCTATGACTCAGCCTTTCAAATAAATAAATAAATAGATCTTTTTTTTAAAAAAATGGTTAACTAGGCCGGCGCCATGGCTCAATAGGCTAATCCTCCGCCTTGCAGTGCCGGCACACCGGGTTCTAGTCCCGGTTGGGGCGCTGGATTCTGTCCTGGTTGCCCCTCTTCCAGGCCAGCTCTCTGCTATGGCTCGGAGTGCAGTGGAGGATGGCCCAAGTGCTTGGGCCCTGCACCCGATGGGAGACCAGGAGAAGCACCTGGCTCCTGGCTTCGGATCAACGCGGTACGCCGGCCGCAGCACGCCGGCCACGGCGGCCATTGGAGGATGAACCAATGGCAAAGGAAGACCTTTCTCTCTTTCTCTCTCTCTCACTGTCCACTCTGCCTGTCAAAAAAGAAAAAAAAAATGGTTAACCAGCCAGCACCACAGCTCACTAGGCTAATCCTCCGCCTGTGGCACCAGCACCCTGGGTTCTAGTCCCAGTTGGGGCGCCGGATTCTGTCCCAGTTGCTCCTCTTCCAGGCCAGCTCTCTGCTGTGGCCAGGAAGGCAGTGGAGGATGGCCCAAGTCCTTGGGCCCTGCACCCGCATGGGAGACCTGGAGGAAGCACCTGGCTCCTGGCTTTGGATCGGCGTGGCATGCTGGCCGTAGCAGCCATTTGGGGGGTGAACCAATGGAAAAGGAAGACCTTTCTCTCTGTCTCTCTCTTTCTCACTGTCTAACTCTGCCTGTCAAAATAAATAAATAAATAAATAAATGTTTAACCATAGGGGTCGACGCTGTGGCACAGCAGGTTAACACCCTGGCCTGAAGCGCCAGTTCTAGTTCTGGCTGCTCCACTTCCCATCCAGCTCTCTGCTATGGCCTGGAAAACAGTAGAAGATGGCTCAAGCCCTTGGGCCCCTGCACCTGTGTGAGAGACCTAGAAGAAGCTCCTGGCCCCTGGCTTCGGATCGACGTAGCTCCAGCTGTTGCGGCCAATTGGGGAGTGAACCAGTGGATGGAAGACCTCTCTCTCTCTCTCCTCTCTCTCTCTCTCTCTCTTTCTCTGCCTCTCCTCTCTCTGTGTAACTCTGACTTGCAAATAAATAAATAAATCTTTTTAAAAAGCTTAACCACAGCCGGCGCCATGGCTCAATAGGCAAATCCTCCGCCTAGCGGCACCGGCACACCGGGTTCTAGTCCCAGTCGGGGCGACGGATTCTGTCCCGGTTGCCCCTCTTCCAGGCCAGCTCTCTGCTGTGGCCCGGGGGTGCAGTGGAGGATGGCCCAAGTGCTTGGGCCCTGCACCCCATGGGAGACCAGGAGAAACACCTGGCTCCTGCCTTCGGATCAGCATGGTGCGCCGGCTGCAGTGCGCCGGCTGCAGTGCCCTGGCCGCGGCGGCCATTGAAGGGTGAACCAACGGCAAAGGAAGACCTTTCTCTGTCTCTGTCTCTCTCACTGTCCACTCTGCCTGTCCAAAAAAAAAAAAAAAAAAAAAAAAAAAAAAAAAGCTTAACCATAGATGAATGGGTAAAGTGTAGTAGTGTAGTGTATACATGCCATGGAATAATTTTCAGTACTAAGAAGGAATAAAATACTGACATATAGTACAACATGGATGAACCTCAAAAACATTATACCAAGTGAAAGAAACCAGATACAAAATATCACATATTATATGAGCCCATTGAAATGAAAGACCCAGAATAGGCAAAATCACTGAGAGCAGATTGGTGGTTGCTAGGGACTGGGGGGAAGAGGGAAGTGGGAAAGCAACTGCTTAATGGGAGCCAGGTTTTATTTGGGTGTGATCAAAGTGTTTTAGAGCTAAATAGAGGTGGGGTGGCACAACTTTGGGAACGCACAAAATGTCACTGAATTGTTTACCTTAAAATGGTTCATCTCGTTGTTTGTGAATTTCATTTCACTTAAAAAAGAGTTCTCTGTGGGATAACTTTGAGACTGCATAGTTTTTCCCTAACAATTTTCAATGATGCTTGCCCGAATTAGCTATGTCTTTAGTGGCTGTAGAACTATGAATTTATAATCCTATCATTCCACCTATATTAATCAGCACTTTTACTAAAGGAAAAGCTTTTGTTTCTCTATACTCGCCTGTTTTTCTTGGTCTTTATTTTTTATTTCAGTATCAATATTGACAGTAATTACTGTTCCCCCTCCTCTTTTTTTTTTTTCATGGTTAAATTGACTTGTATTTGACCAACTTTTCAGTACTTCTTTTCTTTTTGGCCTAGCAAAATGTGTTCTTCCTAAGTCAGAAACAACCACATCTCCTGCCTTG